CCACCCTACACCTCAGTTACAAGCAGTCCTTTGAAAGACCAAACAACAGGAGAAAACGAGAAATTACCTCATGCAGTGGGAGGATCTTAAATATAGTTAGTCCAGAACAGTATTAACATCTCTGTAGAATAAGTCATGTGAAGCATAGATTTTCAGTCCCTCACATGTCTTCTTTAAGCTTTATGCTAGCACAAATAAATTAATAGCTCCCCATAACCTTTGTGGAAAAAACAACTATAGAACCTTTCAGATTTTGAGATGTAAGCTGTGTGTATTTTTAACGTTATTTGTCATACATGAAAGTTGGCTGAAATAGGTTATTCTGGCTTCTAGAGTATTGTTCCCATATGAGGATTTGGGCTGTGTACTCACAGCTGCTGCTCTCCAACATGGACTCTGAGTTCTACTAAAATCAATAGCTGGCACAGCAGGGTACTGTTGTATGGTGTGTAAATAAATGGGTGTTATTGTGTCTCACTTTTTTTTTTAACCTCCTTTCAGATTTAGATTTGCTTTTTTTTTTTCAGGCATACATCAGTGTGTGTTTCCAACTAAGGCAACACGAAGCATAGCTGCTTAGGGAAAAAGCAGCTTTTCCTCCCTTTTTATACTTCCCAATAGGATTTTCAAATAAACAACTATTGCATTAATTCTATTAATTATCTCTTAATAATCTCAGTCAGGAAAAAAAAACAACCAAATAAAGCAGAAATCCATTTTGCAAGCGTCAGCTTTATGACAAAAAGGAATTCACAGTTGCCCAGTAGACAGCTCTCTTACATACCAAGATGTAGGCAAAGTGTTGTAGTAATAATGTCGTAATTCTAGTGCAACAATTTATCTTCCTTCCTCCCATAAGTCTTGCACCTATAGTTGAAAATATATGATAGTTGTGGTTATGGGATGTAAGAGCTACAGATCTGTTTTTCAATAAACTGACTTTGAAGTTCTGTTTCATGCATTTTTTTTTTTTTATTCATGCATCTGGTCATATAGAGTGGTTTACTTTTTTTGGCTGCAGACTTGGCAGATACAAAATGCAGATGTTGTTCTTCTGACTTAAGCTGCTATTTTAAGCTTTTTGGCCAGCGGTTGAAAATTTTAGGCTCGATTGTTTATTTGCTTATCATCAAAGTGGTTTTTGTCATATAATTCATATGCAAGTATTAGCTTTCTGTGTTTACTTTCTGAGTTTGAGATTAACAATATGGTCTTTTCTCTCTTTCCTTTTTTTAAACCAGCATGCTCTTTTGATTAATAATACAGTAGAATATGTTATGCTTCAGAGAGCTTTTATTTGCCAAAAAAAAAAAATCCAAACCAAAACAAAACCCCAGCCCGATCCTCACATTGTGCTGTGGTACTTTCCCTTTAAGAAAACCATATCTCTCTCCAGATGCCTGCATCTCTGATACAGAAGGGTACACTAAGTTCTATCTATAAACAGAATCCACTAATTAAGAGTAATTGCTTCGGAGATTGGTACAGACTATTCAGCATCAGATGCATGTTCCTCTCAGATATCCATTAGCCTCTAATAAGATAATGCAGATGTGCCAGTCTGTTTCCTGTTTCCTTCTATTGTACCTTTATTGCCGTATATGGACCAATGGGATGGGCTGAACAATAAGTGGATGTCCTTTTGCTCCCAGAGCCCTTCTCAAAGGAATGTTTGTTATTAGATTGCTTTTTCTGTTTAGTTTCACATCACTATGCTAATAAAGGAAACATAACACTCCAAAGGCTTATTTTTTTTTCTTTTTTTTTTTTCTTTTTTTTTTTTTTTTTTTTTTTTTTTTTAAATTCTGCCGTGGTAACTAGTTTATTGTTTAATTAAATCTTGTTGGATAGCCAAGAAAACAAAAATGCAACATCTCACAGTCAAGGAGGACTGGTGGAAAATGGAGTATGTCCCTTTATGAAATAAAGTTTCCATGCATTTTTAGGAGTTTAAAGGCAGCTTGGTTATCATGTTACTGTATCTGACTGATTTACACTTGAGTCATGCTAAGTCTGCTGAATTATTCAGTACTACTCAATGCAACACCATCAGCTAGCATAATATAAAGCATATGCATAATCAGGGATTTCAATACAAACTGTACATTAAATACAGTAAGGGTTCTCGAAACTATTAGATCTTGACTTGTTTTGAAAACAGCATTAGAGTATGTCTCAAAGCCACCTAATAAATAAGGACTCCATCAACTCTGTCCCTTAGGAAAAAGATGTAATGCATTGTTGAAAGGTTTCACATGCAAAAATTTCTCTGGAATTGTTTTTGTTGCTGGGAGAGGAGCGACTTGCCTCTCCTGACTTACTGCCCAGGCTGCTCTCGCAGTCCAGAGGTTCCTGTTTTAGGAGTTAGCCTAAGATTTAAGAGAGGGGGAACTTTTGGCTTTGGCAAGAAAATGGGAAATGAACTTAGAAGAGACTTCCTCTGTGACACTGGAAACTTAGGGGACAGCTACGCTGCAGACTGTTGGGCTTGGAGCAGCAAATTCTCCAGCTCTGTGCAGAGCTTGTCCTCCTGTCGCGTGTCTCTCCTGCCTGCGTGGCTTTGTCCCCCAGCTGTAAAGGAAAAGCAGCAGTGGTTTGCCATGGTAGAAGGTTGCAGGGATGGTGGATTTAGCATAAAGTTTGCTGGGCAGCACAGTCATGGATATCTCAAAATGACTGCTGAATTTCAAACATTGCTGCAGGTAGGGTAGAACTCCCTACTGACCTTTTCAGAAGAGGGGGAAGGAAAAAAAAAGGCACAAATGCAGCTTTACTTTCAATGCTGACAACTTAATTCCCTTCTGTGGATGGTGGGAGGGGAGGAAGAGGAATGTGGAGTTGGTGTGGTGTTGGCAGGAGGGAGGACAGAGCATTACCTTTCTACTGGCACAGGACTATGCGCCAAGCCTCCTGGCTTGGCTTCTTGCCTCAGGCAGCTGTTGATGTATGGCAAAGACACCTGTAACAGTAAAGGGATTTTATGAATTAAAATTAAAACTAACAGAACTGCAAAATTCAGGGTTGATTACCTTACAATAACAATACCAAGTATTGTTACCAAATGTAAGCTAAATAGTGATATAATTAAAGAGAATCAATTGATTTAATGTATTTTAGGAGAACTGACGGATGAAAAACTCTTTCCTGTAGTAAAGCCTGCACAAAACGTATGGGAACTTAAGGGGAATAAAAGAAGAAAAGTCACATCACTGTTTGTCTGGTGAAATTTAGAGCTTATATGTGAAAACTTGTGGTTTTAAACTTATGCTCAGCTACTCAAGCACAGAGTTGTGGATGAGACAGGTACACCTGCTGCATTAACTGCAGCTGATAAATATGCTGCCTGCTCTATGCTGGAGCTACTGTAGCCTCCTTCCCCTGTGGCCGTCTGCTTTATCACTGAGTCAAGTCAATAAAAGGCCTGTAAAAATCGAAAAGCAGGCATATGTTCTGTCAAAGAAGAGACATTGGCTGCTTTTCAATGTAGTGTAGTGCACAATGTGATCACCTCTTGGTGAGCATTCAAAGAAACTTCTCTGTATTATCTTTTTCTGTTTACTGTTCATATTAGGGGGCTTGTACTCACCAACAGTCACTGAGGGTGAGTCTAATTGAAGAGGATTTTTGTTCTGGAGGAGCTGCTTCTTTTCAGAATACTTGTCACTTAATTATATGGATCTATCTGATTATGTTAATTTTGGGCATTTGTATAATTTATGCTGAGGTCTGAATTTTTCTGGCTAATAGAGATATAATTAAAGGTAGTAGATAACTTTTTAAGTAAAATTTTGTTTCCAAAGCCCTACATGAGTTAAAAATAGGTGGTCTTGTTCTTTGATCAATTCACTGCATAGATTTTTGGGGCTGGTTTTCATCAACATCCCTTGCTTCTTTGTTTTTTTGCAAACATTTTGCAGCATGGTATTTTTGCCAGCTCTTGTAGAATTACATTAGAAAACATTTTTCAAATCTTTAGAGACGAGGAAAAATTGAAGGTATATGGCAAAGAACCAATGTTTTCTAATGCTTGAGCTGGGTAAAACTGTAAACTGCGATGGTTCTCCTTTTGTGTTGATAATGAGTCGATACATTTTGGCTGTTGAGGCTTCCTCAGAAGAGTTGCCTGGTTTCAGCAGACTCCAGGCATGTGGTCCTCAGGCTTGGTGTGTCCCGCAGCTGCGCAGTACCGCCTGTTACAGTCTCATCTCTGCATATGTCTTTCTTCATTAGCATTAAAGGTATTTTGTGTATAATTTACACAGTTATCAAGTACTTACAAGCTACATTTCTGTTATCCCCAAGCAGGCAGCACTCAGCAGAAATTGCAGTCTGAAAACATGCACAGCTGGTAACCTTTGCTGGTATTCCACTCAGAGCAGAAACACTCTGCTGCTCTCTGACAGGCAAACATATGAATTTGAGGTGGTGGGTTTGTTTTTTTTGTGTTTTTCCCTTGGTCGTTTGAATTCTTTCGGACACCTAGTGAGCTGTATAGCAGTAGTGACAGTCAGTGTTGCATTGACACAGTTCCTGTCCTGTGGCATCGGTTATGCCTTGTAACCTTGAGAAGTCATTTCACCACTGCCTTTATTTTCCCACCCAAAAATCTTTTCGCCTTTGGTTTCAGGCTGTAATTTCGAAGACTTACAAATAAAAATAGAAAGTTGTTACTGATTGCTGATGTAGCAGATGAAAGGGTGTAGCATGTCATCTTGGGAAACAAAGTCTTTAGGCAGCCCTGGACTGCCTTGCTTTTGGATGGTTTAGTTTTTTCTGTGGCTCCTACTGTCTTTCCCTCAACAGTCTATGTTGGAGGAGACAGGTAACTTGTGCAGGTTAGTGCCTCACCAAGTAAGTCTTTGAACCATCAAGCTGATTTTTAGGACACTGATAAATAAGTAATCACTTTACAGAAGTAGCAAAGGGATAAAAGAGTTTTCTGTGCTTGTGATTTCAAAATACTAATATAATAATCCCTATATAATTTTCTCTTTCTCACAGACTGTGTGAGCATGCATCAATAAAGAGCAACTGTCCTCCCAGAAAGAATATCTGTGTAAGCAGCTGAACTGCATCAAAATACCCATAGCAGAAGACTTTCTGTCCATGGTCTGCAGAGCAAGAATGTCCTGGAAAAGAGAACAGTAGGAAGCAGCGATGACATCTAGGATGGACCTGATCTAGTGAATTACCTTTTCATCATCACGCAATCCAGCTCAAGCCATACCTGTAGGCTTGAGAGCCCTCTTCATTCACAAGTTCAGGTATCTATTTGCTGGCCTGGAGTGATGCAACATAGTATTTATACACTGTGAAGTGTTAACATGACAACCAGCAGCCGCACATGTCCTGTACCAGCTGTGAATGGACATATGACTCACTATCCAACAGCACCATATCCATTGCTTTTTCCACCAGTTATTGGTGGGCTGTCTCTACCTTCCCTCCATGGACTCCAAACTCACCCACCGACTAGTGGATGCAGCACCCCATCACCTGCAAGTAAGTGCTTGGTATTAATAGCTTTTATTGACCAATTCTCCTCTTAACAAAGACTGATCGTGTTTGTTCTGAAATTATTTTAAGAGTAATTGCAGTCATTCATCCGTGACGTATTTTCCTTGGGCAAAGAGCATGCATTTGTTTTCAAATATCATTTTCACTTAATCTTGTATTTATAAAAATAAACAGGCAACTAGATGACATACCAAAGTTGTGGAAACTAGGAGTGGTAAAACCTGCAATGGATTTTGGCATATCCCGCATTACTACGTTAGCTTCAGAATCCGATGTAGTGTTTTCAAGAAACTTTACTAAATCAGTGTATCTGTCACCAGCAATGATTCCTCAGTACAGAATTCTCTTTAAGTTGTGCTGTATTAGTACTGCTTTTGTCTTCTTTACTTGTTAGCTGCTTTCTTCCAGGGCAGCTTGTGGAGAGCAGCCCAGTAGACAGCTAGTGGCTATGAGTTGCCTGTGACTGCAGAATTAGTCCTTGAGTCTGTGGTTGGGTTCCACATGTAGCACACTTGTATTTTCAGCTCTGCTGAGTATATTAGCTGGGCAAGTTTGTTTTCATCACTTTATGACAAACATGCATTTTCTGCTTGGCCTTAGTTTTTCATATGTTTAAGGGACTCCAAACAAAGCTGTCCCAGGTTTAAACTTTGAGTAGCATCACACAGAGAAGATACGTCTCTGGAGGCCTCTGCAGTGAGTGACTGATGTATTTGTCACCCATGTGAGGGAAAACAATGCATACAGCTTTGTGGGTGAGTTTGTGATGAAGGTGCTCGTCTCAATACATTACTGTGATTGTTAAGTATGAAGAGGTCTTGATTGTACAGCACATTTGCAGAACTGCACTTTCTACTAAAGGAAAAGGAAGCTTGTTGCAGTAGTGCCCCTCATACCTCTTTGAAAAGAAACATGCAAAGTTAAGAGCTCCAAACATGAACAGCAAAACACTATGAAGACAAAACTTTAGAACAGTGAAGTTGTGGGGTTTCTGCTACCTAATACTAATTCTGGCTTAATGTCTTATATATGCAGATTTGAAGACTGGGCAGTCTTGAAAGAAAGCAGTTTTTTGTTTTTTCCTGGTTGTGTGGGCAGTTTTCATCCAGTCACACATGGGAGGAGGTATAATCAGGTGTCGCAAACAGGTCAGGCTCTTATTTGCCCTGTTTTATTGCAGGGTGTTTATTGTTACTGGAGGTGAAAAACAGAATGCTTTCAGTCAGAAGGTCTAAAAGTAACTGCTTGACTTTCCCATATTGTCAGAAATTATCCTGGTTAATTACTGGAATGCTGTGCTGAATTTATTCCCCGGTATTGTGAGACTGCTGACTTGTTGAAGATACAGTGTGTTATTAGTACTTTACTAGGAACTTTTTCCAAGTCATACCTTTGTAAATACCAAATGCATTTGATCAGACATGCAGTTTTTCTTTTCCATAAATTGTTCCTGTGGAATTAAGACTGTATTGCACATGCATTATTAATTATTAAGAAACAGGTCAGTGTTCAGCTTTTGAAAAAAGTAGTGCTAAGCATGAATTTCTGTGGATATGCAAATAAGTAGTGAATACTGAATAATTTGGTTTGTGTCTTTATGCCCTGGTTCCAGCATTTTCAGGTTAATATTTCTGTTGAGGTGCTTTGCAGCATTGGCTTGCCTTGACTGACCGTGAAACCTGGCAGCTGTTGTGCACAGCTCAAGGCAATAGTGCTTGAAAATACCCGCTAAAATTGCCCAGATAGGGAGGAGGGTGACTTGAATGAGAATTTATTTTCAGACAGTCTCCTGCAGGATGACTCTTCTGGTTTGTACTACTCTATTTTCTTACCTTTGGTGGTAGCAGTCTGTCCTGTTTCAAAACCTCGTGACTTCTGATTCTGGAGCCTGATGTTAATATTGCTAGAGTTATGGAGACATGCTCTTGGAAGCAAGCCAGTTGAGCTTTAGGTCATATTTCAGGTTTTTGTTCTTTGTTGTGGGATTTTTGGTAATTTTTTATTTTATTTTTTACAATGAAGCCACCCATGGGCTGAGGTGACTATGGTTGATGGCCTCTATTATAATTAGAACTTGTAGTAGGTGATAGAAGGATATTGATCTCTTTTCCATAGACCTGAAGAAATGAAAGCTGGGCCAAACCACTGTTCTCTGTATGCCTGAAGCTATTGTACTATTTATCTTCCAGGTTCTTTCTCTTCATGTAAAATCCAACAGAAATTATTTTACATAACAGGAATGCTATAAAGGTATCTTTACTGTTTTTAAAACAATGCAGTTCAACAGCTTTTGTTCCAAGTTACAATAATTTAAGCTTTCATATTATTGTACAGTTTAATTTTGTTTTGTCTTGGTTTTAGACTTTCCCTGATGGCAGATGACCTTGTATCAAGTGGTATTAGGTTCTCTTAACCTGCCATTGGGGTAGGTATCTCCATCCCTGTTAAACAGACAACAGTATTTCAGAAATACTGATTCTGTGAGCTCAAGGGGCTTATGGAAAGATTGCAGGATGGAGTGATTTAGTTTCATTGATGATAATAATGGTGTTGCCTCCATAACCTGTGACTTGGCTTCTGTTTTTATACTGAGATACACAGTGCAAAATAATAATTAGAGAGCTGGTCACAATGCTAAAGAGGTCAGAAGATGAAAAAATACCACTTTTTATGCATACATGAGCTGTGCATTAGTACTGAACGAGACCATGCTCAAGAAGGTTGCTACTTTTGTAAGTCAGATTGATTTACCTACCAGTGTATTACTCTGTACAGCACAGAGCAGATGTCTTCGCTCCTGAGATCAGATGGTGTGCAGGCTTCCCCAGTTGCCTTAATAAGAAGGAATTGCTTCTATATTTAGAAGAAAAAATTAGCAAAGAAAATTTCAGATTCCTGCTTAGCTCATTTAGAAGTGGCCAAACTGGAGGCATTCCT